CTTTCAGAATAATTCCTTTACTGATTAATCTGAGGATCCGGGGTTGGGGCTGAACTTTTTAATCAACACTCTATTTGATCTTGTATTGATGTCTTGAGTCTCTCATCCCTTCAATCTCCTGTTATAGTTAATATTTTGTTATTGTTAATATCTCTTTACATTGCTGTATGATTTCTGCTTCCCGACTGTACCATGATGGATACAGAGGGGGAAACACAGGTTATGAGATGTGGTAAATCTGAGAGCTGGGGAGGATTGGGGGAGAGAATAGGAAATGGAAGGAGAGGAGAGGAAAAGGTGGGGAGGAGAGGAGCAGGGAAGAGAGAGAGGAAGAGAGAGAGTATATTCTGGGCCATAAAGGTGAGGCAAGGGCTGAAATAGCAATCTTAGTGCAATAAGACAAAAAATCAACTGCGAAATATTAGCAAGAGACGTCGCCAAATGTTTGCAAATTAAAAAACAATTTTCTGAATATTCCTGGGTGAAGTTCAAAAAAATAGAAGTTAATTTCAAAATATCAAAACATCTGAGATGCTGTTACAGCAGTGTTTGGATTTTTTTGGTTTAAATGTATGCATTACAAAAGAAAAAAACCTTCAATTAAGTTTAGTATTCATATCAACAGCTTGAGGAAACAACAGATAAGACTGAATGAAGTAGAAAGAAACAAATATTCAGAAGCACAAACTAATGAAGGAAAAGAATGAGAGAAAGGTCAGATTTTTTTTATGGAAAGACTACTATTAAAGAGATTTTGTATCATTTCTAATGCAGTTGTTTCAATCACTATTTTGTATTCTTTAAAATATAAAAAAAATTTGGTAATACTGATAAAGATAAAAGCGAGCTAGAACAAATGATTATTATCAGGAAAGAAAATGGTGACATCAGGACAGAGTATATAGTTATTAACAGTTTATGTGAGGATATTACGAACAACTTTTCAATCCATAAATTCAAAAATATAAATAAGGAATACGTTATTAGCAAAATAGTAGAAAACATCATACTACAAAATGGAAAATCTGAATAATTCAGATTAATTTTAGAATAAAAAATCAAGTCCATCATTAACAATCTTTTCATTAACAGAATTTTAGGACAAATGACTTTGTTGCTAAATTTCATTAAATGTTTACAAAATAAATAATGCTCTACCAGAGGAATAGTTAGCAATAATTCTCTCACTTTGTTCTTCCTTCCTTCCTTCCTTCCTTCCTTCCTTCCTTCCTTTCCTTCATTTCTTTTCTTTCTTTCTTTCTTTCTTTCTTTCTTTCTTTCTTTCTTTCTTTCTTTCTTTCTTTCTTTCTTTTTTTTTCTTTCTTTCTTTCTTCTTTTTCTTCCTTCCTTTCTTTGGTATGGGGAACCTAACTCAATACCTGGGTCT